AGTTCCCATAACGTTGCGGATGTTGAATTCAACACTAATAACTCCTTTAGAACCAACACCTTAGTGCCAAAGGATACAGAAATGAAATGTAATTTTATTATGAGTAATAATGGTGTAAATCGGCGATAAGGAACTGCCGATTTATCAGACATTTGGAATAAGTATGCTTTCTTTTTTAAACTAAAGAAATGCAGTAAAAACCTTTTGACGGATTGCCAGAAATATAAATCAAGTCGGCTGCTGAAATACCATTGGATAACCAATTACCACAATGAATCGAAAGAACTTAAGACAATTTGATTAACCACGAATTTAATTATTTTTTTTTTATTTTTAGTATTAGTGAACTTTTTATTTTGATAAAACTGTTTTTTATTTTGTGCTTAATCATAATTTTTAAATTTTTTATTGTTATAATTTATTTTTTGTATTTTGTTTTTGTTAATAATAATTTTTTTGGTTAAACTAAAGCATGTCTTGATTATTTTTATATTTACATTTCCTTACATTTATAAAATTCTTCATTACTATTTATCAATTACTAACCGACAAAAAATTATTAATAAGTTTTGTGAACTATTTCTAAAAATTGAATTTATATTTCAAAAAATATGTCGACATTAAAGCTTTCATACTTTCTTGAAACATGTTGAAACTTTCTTGAAATTATAAGCGTATGTATTTAATTCTGCAGCCCTCCAACTTATTTAGTGATTTAAATTAGACCGCGATCTTATCTCGTCTGAACAGCCCCAGTCTATACAATAGGTTTGTAAGTCTTATAAGTCTTGTAACATCATTACAATAAGATCATAAAATTTTCACCATCAGTACAATAATTGTAAGAGGTTTTAGTTTAACGACACCGAATGAAATAAAGTGTGTCATCACTGTTTTAGAATAATTACAAGACAATCTTTCTAAATTTTAAGTATGTCCTATGGAGTTATTTTTAATTTTCAATCCTATCTTATAAGCATGAGAACAGTCAAGACAGTCATGCAAAAATCATGAATCTACAATCTTTCCTTTGGAAATCAAGTCTTCCTGCTGAGTAGCAACTGAGTATATGTAAATAATGACATTAATCTGTGAAAAATATTTAGTAGTTTCCAAATGTCATTCTTCTTAACGAAGGAAAACTTAACAAAGGTCTTTGAAACAAGAAAAGTATAATAAAAGTATAATACTACTAAGTATATATAAATATCTACCAAATATTTTCTGAGTGTATAAATATTTTAGACTATTAAATTTACATTGTTATAATCTATGTTTGTCTATAAATTAGAACGTGTGAAGTTTTTTTAAGGTATCTAATAAGTCCATAGATTTTTTCTATTGAAATAAGTTTCTAAAAGAAATGTCAGTTGATATTTTTTGACTGAATATCTTACAGTCGATGTGAAGCATATTCATATTTACATTAGTTTCGAGATTAATGACTAAAACACAATGTCTTATTTCTTTGTAAAATGTTCAAGGAAAGCTTTATTTAAATCACTTTCCCTGAAACATCCTCTTTAGATCGACGAGCTGGTAATAAAGCAGGAAATAAATCTAGCAAATACAAGTTAATAATCTTAGCTTATGCAAAGTAGCTTTGCATACGATAGCTGTCTGGATCGATAAGCATTTTTTCTTCGTGAAGTAAGTACACATTTTTTATATGTTCTTCTTCTAAATAAACAAGTAAACAAATATAATATTCAGTGTGTATATTTTGTTTGACAAGGAAGTTATTGAATATTAGAATATAGACAGTCAAAAATACACGGATAACATTTTTTGTCGTTAGTTAAATTTTATATAGCTTTACCGACCACTTTCCACTCTGCTTAAGATAAATATATAAGCAATAAAAACTGCACTTCTGGTAAAAGAACAAATAATAATAATTAGATATTGTAAAAATCTAAATTTCAACACACAAAATTTATAAATTATGCAGTTAGAAACTGAAACTGGTGGTAAAGTATATATATAGGAATTCTGATAGAAAATTTTATGTATATATATATTATACTACTATACATTACTTATACAATGCGTTCTTGTCCACTGCGTACTTAGTAAGTTACTTAAGTATTTTTAAGATTTTGTCGTTTCCATTTTTTGACATAAGTCACTCATTGCATGGGAAAGAACTGTTATGTGTCAGAAAGTTCTTTGAAACTTTTAAGAGAGCTTCTGCTTGTTTAGAAAAATTTTACTCATTAATATATCAAACAAGAAATGAAATGCTTTGTTGATATATGGTATTAAATTATTTACATATATAAATATTTTATAAATCTATTACGTATTCAATTAATATAAACAAAGATTTTATTAAATACTCACATACTCAGTACGTTTGTTTACAGTTCAGCTGTTGTTTGTTTACATTTTACATACAAAGCATATGATAAATATTTTAAATTTCGGTAACTTCCGTTGTGGAAAATTTATTTTTAAGGATTGCAATCGACATTTTTGGCCTCACTTTCCTTTTTTATTAAGGAACGTAAGTTAAAAACCGCAGAACTCTTTGTATGGTTATTATAAGTTTCACTTACTAAGTAAGCAGTGGAAACATATTATTAGAAGGATTTTGTTAATTATCTGATCAATTCTTAATCTAATACCCTACAGCACTAATAGATGTAGATTATTGATAAACCATGCAATATCCTTCCTTTAGTTTCAAATTCTAGATTTCTGTCAGTTAAACTAAAATCGGTGAAGTATACTGACTCGAGCGATCACTTGCAAGCGACAGAGCATGACCACATAAAATGTGCAGATGTTTTACTATGTATTTCTGAACAAGTACAGATACTTGTGTTAAAAATACTATATTCGATTTAAGATCGATTCAAACAAAAAAAGTTACTCTTATATTTCGTTGCTATATACTGAATTTGCATGTCAGATTTATTGGCATTAAAATGTAATTAGTAATAAAAAGAATTCATTTATATTAGTATATGGTATATGCACATTCATACTGACGTCATAAAATTTGCTTTAGTCCAACATAATGTATAATATGATTATTCTAGATTTACTCGTATGCGGTTTTCTAAATCCATATAAGAAAAGATTATTATTAGTGGGTAGCTCGAAGTACATATTCTGTAATGTATCATCTCTGATTTCACAATAAATTGTAATTAAATTGACACTTTTGATGTCCGTAAATAAATAAAGAAATTTTGTTTTTGAATTTAATTTTTCATTGTAGACTTTGCCGTGACGTCAATTGTCACTTCATGTCAACTTCATGAAGTGCAAAACGATAATTTTACAGTTGTAATTAAAAACGGCGAAGAAAAAACTAAATAATGTTAAAAAAATTTGAATTGAAACAAGAGATTATTTTTTGACTTGATTGTACTATGGAATTCCACAATAAAGGATTACCATGTGGTAATTAGATTTCAACCTAAAAGGAGCACTATTTCAATCAATACAATTGTTTCTGCAATCAGGAATAAAATGTGTAAAGAATGTCATTGATTTCGAATAGGAACCCAACCCAATATATCGGGTCTATTGTTTATTAAGCCAACGTCCTTGCTGTCGAGAAAATAGGTCGGTTAATTTCAGTAGAAAATCTAAAAAATTAATGTATTATTGCCACAATACAAACACTGGAAAACTTAACTGAGGTCAATGAGTAGTTAGTGCATAATATTACTGATTTGGGCTTCAGAGTACCAAAATATACAAAAAAATGAAATTGCAAATACATACTCAACAGAGAAATATATACTAAAAATTTAAACGAGCACGACCTAACAACAATGAAAATCCTATTGTGCAGAGCTGAGATCGGAAATAAGCATAACTCGTGATCGTCGTAACAGGTTGTTGACTACAAGGCGTCCATTCCTTAAAAATCACTCAAGAACTGTTATGTATCGGAAAGTTCTTTGAAAGTTTTAAGAGAGCTACTAAACCATACCCCAAATGGAATCAGTTTTAATAGATCTTTTAACTTATTAAATAAATGGATTAAATTAACGTGAACGCTTTAAATAACTTAATACAGTAAAATTTCGCAGAGATAACAGAATAACAGAATAATATAGACGTCCAAAGTAAGCTTAAAATTGATTTCCTGTTTTTTATATTAAATATTATTGAACATCCTAAATTATAGTAAATCAGACTTCCAATGAAATTATTTCTATCCAAAATTTTCAATGGTAAAAGTTAATTTTTCTTGATAATTACAAATGTATAAAGTGTACCCGTATTTTGTATAAATAAATATTTACTCGCATTTCGTTGCTAATGGTTGCATAAATTTTCAAACTATAATTGTTTGCTATGTAAAGATACCCCTGAGTGTTTAAGATTTATGCGAATATTAGTTTACTTAGTCATGTAATGCCATAATTAAAACCTAAACATTCATAAATTCTAAATAACACAAATATTTACTTTGAAAACTGAACTGAGTATAAATAATTGTACACTCTGTAAAAAAGATTTTAAATTAGGTTGGGTTTATATAGTTTATATTACACGAGTGTACAAACTTGCAATGTAACCCAATTAAAACAGGTTAAAGGCTTGTTGCAGAAGCTTTAAATAAGCTGCTATAATTTTCAAACTGCTGGCAACACAGTCAGGTGATGTCAGTCATTTATTAGTTATTGTTTACAAGTGTGACGATATGTAACTATTTGCATCTTAGTTTTTAGGGATATAAAGCCAAAAAGGTAAAAATAATGAGACAGAGTACTTGCGCTATTTTGAATGGAACACCAGAGGTGACTATTATTAGAGCTCTTGAGTATCTCAATGACCATAAATCTGTAATATAATTTTGTAATCAATTTTACAATTAATGAATAAATCACAGAAAAAATCAATAAATCCATATATTGGTTATAAAAAAATATTTATATATATATTAAAAAATAAACAAAGCAACCTGTCATTTTTTACTTTCATGTTAATAACAAAATATTAAACATTCAATTAAAATTTAAAAGTTAAAATGCACATATACTTTTTTGGACTTAACAAAATTTTAGTATAAACGATATATTTTTGCAAATGTTCTAATAGCACAAGATAAAAAAATAGACCACGCACAACAGATCAATAGACGTATTCGAAACTTCAGAGAAAAACTTGGGTGAGCTGCGAAGTTTAAAGGACATAAAGTGAGTTGTTTTATTTAATATAAATGTGCAGTTTTTGTAGACTTTTTATAAATCAAATATTTTTAGTTCTCATCATGGCGTCACAAGATATAAATCTAATGACTGATGCACAAGTTCTAGAAATGTTCAATAAATGCAATTTTGGGACTTTATTAGCTCCCATCATTAATACAGTTGATGAATCAACGGTGATAATAATAACAATGCCTTCACCAGAACCCGAACTCATAGAAGTATATGTTTATATGCGCAGCGAATTGGACAATATTTTACTAGGTCACATCTCTTGTCGCCAATTAGACTTAGACATCTTTAACAGATTACGACCACAAATATGTCCAGACGCAATGGTGGTTAATACTGATGTATGGATAAACAGTGAAGCTGTTACACAATGGCTTGCAACAATGTAAACACAGAGATTAACTTCACAACTTATAAAACCAACACAAAAAAGCGAGATAGCAACGAAAGTATTGATGTAAGTTAAAAAAAAAATTTTTTTAAATTTTTCTTACTAATATTTCAATTGTTTTTAAACTGTGGTTTATAGAAAGTTGCTTACTATTTAATCGGTAATGTAATCGATATTAGTCACTATTTCGTTAAATAAGCATTTCCACTGATTCTAATTACAAGCGAATACCATTTGGACAAGCTGATCTACACAATCTTTTCACGCATCTCCTTACTGAAGCGCATTATTAGAACGGAATATTATTCGACTTTTGTTGCACATAAAGATCTTGCGTAAAATTTATGCTTGTAGTTTCTCCAGAACCATGAAGGTAACAAGTCTCTTACCAGTACTCTACGTAAATATATCGTCGATTTTTTGTTTTTTAATATTATAAATAAATTATAGTAGAAATGAATGGCTTCAAGTAATTATGTGTGTCCTAAGATACATAATTGTATCGATAGGTGCAACACCTATCGGTTTAAGATATATACCATAATTGAAGGATGATGTTACTTTAAATTCATGATTCATTACAATATACAACCCTAAAACTTTTTCTCCAAGACATTGGCTTATTCTCTTAGTTTTCCTAAACAATTTCAGGTTATTTGATCTTCAGGTTATAAATTGCTACTTGATCACCAGATTATTATTACTCGTGAATGTATGGGTAGTGTTTAATAATAATTTAAGCAAATACCTCGTAATTTGATGTGTATAATTAGTGGAAAATAATATTCTAATTTCAATTTTGATTATAAAAACTCTTACAAAGAATAGATAGAATATTCATATCAACTAATTAAGATATATTTTTATTTAATGTATATGTAATTTAATTTTATATTTTGGTTGTACCAATTTAATCTCCTCACATACTGATATTTTTAATTTATCAATATATTTGTAACGCAATCTAAAAAACATGGAGAAGTATATATATTTATGATCAGCAGAAAAGGGTGGGTCGGTTTACTATTGACCATTCAGACCGTCTGACTGTCCATTTATTATAATGGAAACGGGACTTCAAATTTTTAAGCTAATGGAATTGATGGAATCCTATTTTTAAAAATTTCTTTTTGAGAAATATATTGTGTTCATATATGTTTATATACGCATAGTATTAATGAAAAAATAGGCCATAAAATGTTATTGTTTTAACAAAACAAATACCAAACAAATAGAAACAATAAATATCTTGGAATTATTGAGCATATTTCAGGAAGCATGAATAATACAAATTTAATTGTTTTGATCATTTATTTTCGAAATATTGTTATTAATAATATTATTTGTTATAAAATTTTCCAAGGCAAAGTAGCTTAAGAATTTTTAAGAAAAACAATCGAATTTTTTGTTTATTTATTACTCATGGGCGTGAGCGATAATTTATAGTAGCGAACGGAACCAAACTACCGAACACAGTATGATAAAATTTTTATACTTTTATCCATGTGAAAACTTATTGGTTATACTCGTATGGTATAAACATGTTTACATTTATAAAAATCTTTTAAAAGAAATTTAATAAATTTTCTCAGATGTTAATTTTAAGTAAATATTGTCCTATTTATTGCTAGCAAATAATTATTTTTTAAGGTGGGTATTCTGGAATAAAAGTCTTACAAAAATAATCATTAAAGTGTATTTATTATAGCGGTTTTGATAGCGGTTGATAGCTAATAACACTTACATTAGGAAAACTAATATTTTTGTAATTTATTTAGTTAAAATTAAGTGCCACTGATCTTTGCATGGTTTAACATGAAACATAGATTATCAACACTTATTATGTGTACTTACTTCATTATATAAAACCAATCTTCTAAGTAAACCATACAGATTGATAAAATGAATTAATTGATACCTTGAACACATGACTAGTATTACGCAGTGATGTCATTTCTGAGTTCGTTTCTTTTACATAAACACTATGTCATAGTGTCTTAAAAGTTAAATTTAGTTATAAGTAATAGTTAGTATTTAAAAAACCAATATCTTCGATCAACCAACTAATCTCTGCGAACGACTTATTTAAATACTCAAAACACTTTCTCAAAATAATACTAAAACTGTACCACATTTTTTATTTTACCTTTAAGTAATTTTAATTTTTTTAAATTCTTATAATTATTTTTTAATTATTTCTTTCAATTATTTGTGTTTTTCGACTATTTCTTTCTGTATTTATTTTTTTAATAATATATTTTTTTCTAGTTATTTTATGTAATTTAATTTTTTTTTTTGAATTTTCTTATTAATAAAATAATTTTACTTTGTTTCTTTTTTTGAAAATATGTTAATATATTTAATAATTATATATTAATTTAATATAATAGTAAATCAAACTTTCAGCTAATTTTACGAAGACAATAACAACATTCATCAGGCTTTGGTAATCACGCAAAATTTAACAACGCAAAACAATGTTTGACAAAATTATCTTAAATTAGACGATATTAGTGTCTGCAGAGACGTACAAACTATGTTCTTTACATGTTAATAAGTAAAAATTATTCTTGATTTTGAATCGTTGACATACAAGAAATAATGTTAGAGTTATCAAGGTAGTAATTATCAAAGTACTGCATGCATGATAAGCACTTCGAAATCGATTTAGGAAATTACTATGAATGACTACCACAAAAGGGCTGTCGCTATGTAAACGAATTGTAATTTCAATTACTGGATATTGTCTATATAAAATGGAAACTGAACTTGAATGAGCTTAGATTCATTTCAGTAAACCATCGGATACTGCAACATGGTGCAAATCAAATCTCAAAAACAACAAATTTACTTCGTTGTGTTTGAGGATTATTTGCAACCACCAAGGAAACCTCACAAAAAGGATAATCTTTTGTTGATAGATGAGAACATTAAACGAAAACCGGAGCTAAGGTTAATACTTTTGGAGCATCCTGTATTTGTAAGTGCAAACAAATCAACAATATGGCAACGTTGTCGGTTATTTTTAAGGAATTTTTACTATGCGAAATTGGCAAAGTTCCAACACCCTAAAAAAAGAAACCTAACGATCAAAGAGAAAAAGGAAGACCCAGTAAATAATAAATTGAACATTCTTAACAATGGCAGCATCTACAAAATATATAAGTCTCTCCGTAACCATTTCCATTTGCCGGGCTTTCTTGCCTTTTTACTTGCTCGGAATGATGATGGCCTTTGCAAACGTAAGACGGGTTTTGAAATTTATTGTGAAATGGCCAGTATTCATGGCTTTGTGAATTTTGTGGGAGCAAAAACTTGGCAGCGCATACTTTGGTGTCTTGTTATATTCATTGCCATTTTAATGTCCACTATTTTTTTGGTTATGTGGCATTTAATGAATGTTAACACTCCGACAATTTTATATACGGAAAGCAGCACATACCCAGCTTGGACAATACCCTTTCCTGCGGTAACAATTTGTAATTTTAATCGAATTTCCTACAGGAACGCATTTACCTTTGCACAAAAATTGTAAGTATAATCTGATCTAATAAGAAAAATAGTTCGAAAAAACTATATTAAACTAATTTTATAATCAAATTTAATAATTTATCAATTTGAATAAATTTTTTACATACTGGTATGATACATGACAATACAGTTGTTGTTGCAAATTTTTTGTTGTTTTTTGTTTTTGGTACATATATAATTTTTGCATTCATATTAATGGTTGTATTAATTCAACGTTACTGAGATAAGTAAAATGAAAAAAAAAACAACAACTGCAATAAATAACTACTAGTAATTAATAAGTACTAATAATTTTACCGTTATAAAAAAAAACAAAATACAGTATATATAAATAAAAAAATAAACTTTAAATAGAGAAAACTTAAACACAGATGTGTACCGTCAAATATCTATTCCGTTCGATCACCGTTCAATCTGCAACAACTTATCATTTATAAATATGTTATACGTGCAAATTAATTAGATAAAATAATCAATGAATATGTGTTTAGAGAGCATTTAAAAAAATTTGAACTTATTAATAAATTATAATTTAATGTTTTACTCAAATTAGTTCTGACTGAGAAAAACCTAGTTATTGAACTTATAAAATCGTTTCCGATTTTGTGGTGAACATAAGACCTCTCTCCTCCATATATGTGCATATAAGTTATCTGTAATTTATTTATAATACGAATATTTAGAATACGTTAGATTTTTTTTTCTTGGCCTAAATAGGTTTGTCCTTTTCAGTAATTTCAGTAACGCAAATATGAGTATGAGCAGATATTTCCGATTACAATTGTATAACAGTTTTGTATTGGATGCCCCGCAAGAGGATTTCGAATTTATGCAAACATTTATCGAAAACAATGAGCTTAATTTACTCAAATTGCAGAGAAATTTATCACCGAATTGTGAGAGTGAATTGTTGCGATGCAAATGGAAAGGAAAAAGAGAACGTTGTGACAAGCTCTTTCGGAAAGTCGAAACTACACAAGGCATCTGTTGCAGTTTCAATTTGTTCGCTTTAAAGGAGAGGAAAACCGGAGATCAAAGGTAAGATTCTAAAATAAATTTATTGCTAAATCTAAGTGATCATATTATAATCCAATGGAATATTCTATGGATGCCTTTTTGACTATCGTATATACATCAATAGCTGTATTCAATAATTAATAATTAAATAGTATATAATTCTTATTTTCTCTCATCTTCTGTTTTATATATGTATATTTATTATTATTATTATTATGAAAAGAGGTAGTGCACTACGACCTAAAATATTACAGATTTTTTTTTTTGCGTACAGCTGAATTCAAAGAATTTATAATATTTTCTTTATATAAATCCAATTAATATTTTACGGTAAAGTATTTTTATATGAAGTACTTCATTCAAGTTTTAAGAAGCACAAATTCTTATAATATATTATATTTTATATTAATATAATATTAATTATATTGATTAAATATTAATTATCAATACTAATTATATTAATTGAGTATTAATTATTATTTTATTTTAATTAAATATTTATTATATCAGTCAAATATTAATTAATATAAATATAATAATAAAGTATAGTAATGAAAGTATTATTTAATATAAAAGTTAAAAGATACTATTTGTTATATATTAACCATTAATAAATCCGTTATTTTTTAGAAAATATGCTCATTACTTTTTCGATGAACCTGAACATACAACCAGTAGTGGCTACAAAACTGGCTTAACGGTATTACTTGATGCACATACAAAGGATTATTTAATATCTAGTGTTAAGAAGACTGGATATCAAGTGCTTATACATGACGCATATGAATTTCCCTCATCGAGTATACAACGATATGCCTTGCAGGACCGTACTGAAAACATGTTGAGCATAAAACCACGTAGTACTTACGCTACTGAGTATCTAAACACTGAAAAGTTGCACGTTCGACGTTGCTATTTACCAAATGAGAGACAACTTCACACATTTCGAGCATATACCCAAATTAACTGTCTTTTGGAGTGTCGTAGTCAGAAACTTTTCCATAAATGTGGCTGCATACCACCAATGTATATTCCAGAAAATAAGTTTTGGCCAAGCTGCAGTTTTAAAGAGCGAAAATGCATTAACGTCAATAAAAGTAAGATTTTGATTATGTATAAAAAAATTTATTTAATTTTATAGTTTTAACAAAAATAAATTACAGATATTTTTTCAAGTGTTCTTGTGAATAAAAGTACTAATTATAAAACTAACCATTACACTGAAAAGTATATATGCGATTGCTACCCAGCCTGCAATTTTAATCTATACGGAACAAGCAAACATTATGGTCAGCTTAATGAATACTTTTCTCAAACTGAAAACCGCTTTTTGTAAGTATCTATGTATGGTCGTATCTACAAACTGTTATAAATATTCAATTGGTGGAAACACTGCGTTCATATTTCGCCTAATGACAGATTTTACAAGAGTGCGATGGTATTTACATATGCATGGCGAAATTCAAGCGTAATTATGTGAAAAAGGTTTATTTGAGATGAAAAATCATAAGTTACTTTTTTTTAAATCTCTGAATACTCTGTCCTATAATGCTGGTTGGAATGCTGGCTACATTCGCTATAAAACTGGTTCGAAAAGTTAGAGATCGAATTGAACAAAATTCGCACCATAGTAGGTCCTAAACATATGAAAAAACCGTGTAACGAATCCTCAGAAGCTTACTTAAAGTAAAGTCTGAAAAATTAAATGATTTTACCGATTTTTAAAACGAATCGAATTATTAATAAATAATGACTTAATGTTTTACTTTACTGTTTTACTCAGTTCTGACTGAGAAAAACCTAGTTATTGAACTTATAAAATCGTTTCCGATTTTGTGGTGGACATGAGACCTCTCTCCTCCATATATGTGCATATATAATACGAATATCTGTAATTTATTTATAATACGAATATTTAGAATACGTTAGATTTTTTTTTCTTGGCCTAAATAGGTTTGTCCTTTTCAGTAATTTCAGTAACGCAAATACGAGTATGAGCAGATATTTCCGATTACGATTGTATAACAATTGTATTGCAAAATGAAATGATTTTACCGATTTTTAAAACGAATCTATGTTCGATATTCTAATGAAAATAATCGTGTATACCTAACACAGACGTCAGACGAATACCAACACTTTTCAATGGCTACAAGTAATCAAGCAATGATTTTCGTGGTCATGATGGTCAGTGCGTTGTTAAAATTTATACGAATATTTACCACCAAAAGATTTCGAAAGGTGATCAAAAGTCGGGGGGAACCAAAACTTTTAATGAGAAAGCTCAGTGGCCTCTCAAAAGACATATTTTTCACGAATCGATGAAGATTTGACAGTTTCACATTTATGCAACTTATTAATTTATCGACTGCAGAACTATTTTTAGAAATATTTTTTCTGTTGATCGAGCCAACATAGAAATAAAAAATACAATTCAATCTGTTTAGCTGGGCCACCCTCAACTTAAAAAATCGAGGAGTAAATTTTGATATAATTTCTTTAAAATTATATAAAAAATTTAAATTTCTATAATCGAAAATACATATTTTTAGTAAGCAACTAAAGGTAGAAAACCAAATACTTCTTCATGTTTTCTATGATGAATTAACTGCAGAAAAACTTCGTCTGGATATTTATGAGAATTGGATTTCTTTTGTTGGTAATATAAACATATTAAAATTTTAAATTTAAATTTATTAATTTCAATATGGCAATATTTTAGCTTTTTCTTATATGATTTATGGTAATTATTTGATTTTTGCATTAATTTATTTATACATTTTTATAAATATTTTTGAGTTATGTGTTATACTTAAATATATGTTTGTTTATATTCTTATTCATAAGTATATTTAGTAAAATAACTTTACTTGTGGTGTATTTTATAGGTTTAGTGTGTAAAAACATAAAACTTACTTAGGACGTGTGCGAGTTAGGCTAAGTTGATGCTAAACCAAATGGGAGATTTTTTGGGATTTTTTGCACTGCACATATTTAGCCATTTATCAACACGTATCGACACACCACTACATTATCGGCACAACTTAGAGTTTCCCTCATTTAGAACGCAACTTAGCCTAACTCGCACACGACCTTAGTTCAATTTAGTAGCCCATTATGGGATAAACAGTACATGACAGATACAACAAATTTTTGTGAGATGCTGAGATAGTGACTTAACGATATGACTTAAGCAATAATGAAAAAAAATTAAATTGGAGGAAATCTACTTCATATACGTATATTCTGCAAACTCAATTGTGTCGCCTATTTACACGCCAAAAGAAATCGCGATCCCGCAATTTAGATTAGTGTTCATATGATATTTTTGCTGACTTAAAAAGCAATTACAACAAAAAATTCTGTTTTATTCTGATTTCGACGCTAATATTACGCTTGTATAGAAAACTTTTGAGTTAAACATCTTAGGAAAAGGAGTTAGTAACGTGGTAACAGTAAAGAATATCAGAAATACGCCTATTTAAAGCACAGTACTAATATTATGTAATATTTAAAATATTTATTTGGAATAGTCTTGGATAAGTACTTAAAATATAATGAGCCTGTGAGATTTCAAATCAAATCTTTTGTGATAAAATGTCTTCTGAAAGCTATTGCATTTCTAAGACTCATATTTCAAGTCTGCGTATCAAATGAACATGATATTGATAGAAGCGTGTTGGTTATGATATATATAATTCAGAAACTGTTTATTTAGGAATTTATTGTGAGAGAAAAATTATACACTACTGGTCAGATAGAAATACCTCTAGTAGTATTGAAGACCAGAACGCAACGAAATTTTTAAATCGAAATATAAACTTTATATGTAACCATTTTTAGTAAATTGTTTTGAAAACATCAGACACATGTATACCAGCAAAACAACAAAAGTTCAATCCGGATCAGTTAATAAATATTAATTCGTATGTATTAACTCTTCAATTAATTATCATTAGCCTCAAGTGTAATGACATATTACTTGAAGATATTTTATTTATTTATATAATGAATCTTTCTATTTAACGATTTCTATATGTATACCATATATACATTACATTCTATAAATATTTTAATTCAATTTTAAGGTACATTTGGTGGAATTGCTGGTTTACATATGGGTTACAGTTTTGTGTCAGCTTTTGAAATGATTTTTTTTGTATTCGTTCGACCCGTTTGCAACTGGATAACGAAGCAGCAAATACGTTATCGTATTAAGCGTAAACGTAAAACAGCAGCTGGAGCTGAAGCTGGACCAAAAACCAAGATAACAAGCAAACCGAATAATCCAACATGTACTTAAATACCATACATCTCGACAAACTTTTGGCCTTAAAATAAGGTAACTTATTAGTTGGATTCTTGTCAAAGGTAGTCATATATCATTTATAAAGAAGTTATATTAAAAATTCACGGTTCAGCATTTACTGAAGCAAAAATAAAAAAAATGTTTTAAAAATAAAATGTTTACAATTATATTTTAAATATCACATATTAATATAATACACAATAATATGTTAACATATGTATATATGTTATGAGGTAGAGTCAGCCTATATCATGCTTTCATTACTTTATACAATTACAGAATTCACAAAAATTAGTTAAGCAAACAACCCCATAGATAGACTATTATTTGCCGCTAAATCGGTTTATTTCGTCATACTGATAATGAGTATATAACGTTTATATTGTCTCGGATATATCGTTAACTTGTGGAACAGAATATGCGCCATACAGACATCATTTCTAAAATATAATTATTATTAACATTTTATGACTATGTAATAACATTATATTATGCTCATTTAAAAGTTATATTAATAAATTGTTTTTATTGTCATTCAATCAAATTGGTTATTTAAAAATACTCGTACTTTGGGTCAACTTTATTGAAATAGAAGTACATATAAGTACGATTTATGAAAATAAAAATGTTATTAATACGAAGTTAAGAATACGGGACACGAAGGAAATGAAAGAGCTTACGACAACTATCGCCAACTAAGTAGCCCATATCGTCAATAAATTAGAAACCATTCTATACTATGGTAATTAGACTTATAGTAAACAAACTCCGACATTGAAAAGACTTCAATTTCACTCTTGACACTCTTTTTACAAAATTGATCTTTTAGAAACCACTATTCTGTTAATACCTTAAATTACGTTGTAGCAGTCTTATTCATCTGGGGGACAGACTTCATGAGGAACAGAGTTCCTTTCTTTTCACTGGACACAGTACTATACAGCAATCAAATGGTTTTGGTGTGTTAAATTGAAGCGCGCATTTTGTCAAAAGTTGGATGTCTACAAATGCATCTGGGATATATGTATTAGAAAATCATAGTCATATTAATTTGTTTAGTGTTAACACAGCACGCCGCAAGTATCTTTACTGAAGACACTTAAAGAATATGATAAAATAGGATTGATTTTGTTTGGGTGTTGATCGGTATAATCAAAGGAACTGTTAGATAATTTTCGGCTGATAAATATTGATGTATTAACATATTTTTGAACAAGAAAATAAAGTTTTATGTTGCAGTTATTATATTACACAATTTCAATTATACAGTATTATAGGCAGGTAGGTAGGTAGGTAGGTTAGATTGGCGGCCTTATATCCAAAAACCCCACTTGAGCTCAAATAATGGCCAATTGTGGTACCACAGGAATAAGATTGGTATGTACATAGACTGAAAAATTTGTATACGATCAACGACAAATAAGATAACGACTCCGCCATTAGGTGAAGGAAAACTAACCTGACAGTTTTATGAATTTGGCTAAGTCCGTAATATTACAGGATGACAGCTCGATCAGGTCGGTAAGAAAAAGGGCCCCGAAGATTTTTGAACTTCTTCTAGCTAAAGCAGAGCACTAACACATAAGATGGAGCACGGTCTCCTCCTCATCCTCATCGCCACAACTGCGACAAAAGTCATTATAAGGTAGACCCAGTCTCATAGCAAGCCTTCCTATTTCTCAGTGGCCCGTTAGCACATACCATGGTGCTGAGCAAGTTTTGCCTTAGCAGATTCCGCCTTGAAAATATTTGAACAAAATAATACAATATATCAAGTATATACAATATATTGTCCTCTGACCAAAGCACAGGTTAACAATTTTTTTTTTAAAAATTTTTAGTAAGTGACAAATGCAATTAATAAAAAAAATATTTAATAATAACGTCACAAATATGTGGTGAAACTTACAAACTGAAGTTTGATTAATTAAGGTCAAGTGATGTTAGAACTTTATTTAAACTCCTACGATTTACATATGTATGTTGGCGTAAATGAAGTATATATTCAAATTAGTTAACTTGTTAATAATTGTTATAATGAAGAGGGTGATTCGTTTACAGTTAAAAATATCAAATACAAACTAAAGATAATGGGAAAAAAAATTACTATTGACGTTTAATAATATGGTCGCCCATTTTAATGAATATCCACATTCTATACTAATTGATTTATATCAATAGAACACACTGAAACATGCTATCCTGAAGTACGGTTTAAAACGCACCCCCATATATATGTAGGGGACACCCACATTTATGGCCTTTCAAAATTATACAAAATCAAAAATTGGGCGATAGTTCTGCTGACATTCAGTCTAACTTGAAATGCGTTTCGGTGCAAATCGTGTATGCCATTCATCCACAACTTCAACAAATTCACTTGTGCCGCAAGCACGCAAGACTTCACGTATATCGCAACTACGTGATTTGACATATTACAAGGATGTGAAAAATTGGTTTGTGGAAAATCTACGAAATTATTGCAACACAACATCATTGCATGGTTTTAACTATATCACACGCAAAGGTATTACCAGCAAGGAACGTATTTTCTGGATATCCGTTGTGGTAATATCAATAGTCGTATCCATTGTTTTGGTTATTGTCTCCTGGCTATGGAATCGAGAAACCCCAACAGTGACAGTAATTGAAAGTTCGCATTTTCCTACATGGAACATACCATTTCCGGCTATTACAATTTGTAACTTCAATAAAATATCGAAATACAAAGCTATTCACTTGGCAAAAACTCTGTAAAACAAATAAAATTCATATCAAATAATTCACTGAACAAATTTTCATACATACTTCTACTTATTTTCTCATCCTTAAGGAATCGACCGGCGAATTTAACAGAAGCAGATTTACTTAATCTCTTTCGTATAACGATGTATTTCAGTTTCGCTGTTAATCATACGACGGAAGAATATCAGACTCTTGAAAAAGTTTTGCAACAAAATGATCTGACTATAAAACAGTTGATAATGGGTCTATCCCCTGATTGCATGCAGATGATTTCACGTTGTATATGGAAAGGATCAAATACACGTTGCGATAGCCTTTTTCAACGCGTTAATACTACAGAAGGCATTTGCTGTTCATTTAATTATTTTGGACGAACCACTAACAATTTTCCTGAGTAAGTACATAAAAAGAATTTAATCCATACTTAATAAGAGAAGACATCGATTTGAATTGTTAGGTAGCCCGACAATATTTTTCTCACATTCGATTTAAATTTTTAGTACATATATGTTTATTATTATATTGTAGTGTGTATTAAATAAACGTTAATAAATAACATCTCTGGCAAAAATGTATTAAATATCTTAAATACAATCAGGTTTCCTAATTTTACATATACTAACTGATTTACAACAACTGTAGCACATTAACGAAGTTCTAATGTAATCATTGCAGCAGTTGTTTAAGATTTTCAAACTGTTCCATAAAAACGATTGGGATAGAATTCTGTATAACATAAGGAGCAACTCATAATATAATGTTAAATTAAGTCGATGTGCGTTAAATTGTATAATAGTAATAAATCTAGTAAACCTAACCAGTAAAACAAAGGGTTCAAATGATAGATGATATGGAATTAAAAAATTCTATGCAAGGGATATGGAAATTATTAGCATTATTCTGTAATGATATCATCTGTAAAGATAATCAGTTATTTAAAAACAATCTCAAGATCTTTAATAAATATTCGTTAATAAATTCAGCCTCGTGTACGACATTAATGTCTCAACCCACTCATTTTTATAAACTTTTTTATTTGGTAAATAATAAATTGGAAATGTTTATTTAGTATTTAATAAGTGCCCAAAACTTAATAAAGTTTTAATGGAAATAACAATGAATATTTTAAAGATTTCAAGTAGAAAGTGACAGATATTCAGCTACCCAGGTAAAAGGGTAGCTAGTAAAAACTATCTTAAAGTATTAAATGATTATTTACCTCTAATTCGAGGTTTTTGAAGTAAAGAAATTAGAAATAACCGAAAACTTCATACATCGGATTTCATCACGACAAATTTTGTAACTGAGAACAAACTTAATTACCTCAGCTTTCTGGAATCAGTGTTTTAAGTTTCTCTAGAATCTAGGATATTTTTCTGTGTTAATATTGAGGAATTTTTAAGTATATCGCATACCTATTTTTATATTAAATTTAAATATAGTATACTAAAGAAAGTTACACTTTTCAAATATAAAATCTTAAAATCAATTTAATTATTCTATAGAAAAATTGCTTACCAAGTCCCAAAACGACCATATCGGGTTACTGGTTGTGGTTATCCCACAGGTCTCTCCGTTATACTGAATCCAATGGCGGATGATTATTTTGGAACTTATTTCAGCAGTTATGGTTTCCGTTTACTTATACACGATGCATATAACTTTCCTGACGAGAATGCTGAAACAAAGGTAGTAACTGCTACAAGAGAATGTTTTGTGCGGATTAATCCAGAATCCACTTATGCAACAAGTGATATAAAAACAATGGATATGACATTACGAAATTGCTTATTTTCCAATGAGCGCCGACTTTCAATAATGCAACGCTACTCATTTATCAATTGTATGACAGAGTGTCGTGTAAGCATACTTTTTCAGCGTTGCGGTTGCGTGCCCTATAACCTACCAAACAATGGTAATTTACCGACATGTGGACTTAAGCAGATTTCTTGCATAATTGAGAATAGAGGTCAGAAAGTATAAAGCACCAGAGAAAAAATTCTTTACTGGAACTTTATTTCATTTCAGAAATATTTACTAGAGCGCTACCAACGCTCAATGGAACTGTATCCATCGTGAGACAAGACAATACTACTAAAATATTTCCTTGCAATTGTTTACCGGACTGTGAAGTAAATCACTATCCTTCGGAAATAACAATGGGGCGATTAAATTCAAAATTAACATTTAACAGAGAGAACGCTATGTAAGAATTTAATTGATATATTTATTTAATAAAAAGAAGTATAGCTTTTTTTAAATTAAGCAAAACGAATAATATGAATGATAATATATTGCTACACGTATTCTTCAGCGACTTGATGGCTACTCGTTATCGTATGGAAATATTTCAAAATTGGTTATCCGCATTGGGTATGCCTTTTAAAAGTTATCTCCATAAAAAAGAACTATAATATTGATTATATTATTACATTACAGCTTCGTTTGGTGGCTTATTGGGATTAATAATGGGTTTCAGTATTGTCGCGGCATTTGAATTTCTATACTTTTTAACATTCCGGCCAATATTTAATTATTTCAACGAATAACAAATTGCTATAAATATTTTCGGAAATCAAAATTTTTGGTCTAATAATAAATATATTTTTCAATATTGACCAACAAAATATACTTAGCACTTTCATATGGCGTACATAATACGAGTATATATGTATGTATACGTATATGTATATTTATTCACCTTTTAAAATTATATAATAGTAAATATAAAAGTATAAATATAAAAGTATATAATAAAATATTATAGTATAGAATAATAGAAGAAGAATATAGTATATATAATATATATATATATATGTATATATATATATATATATATATATACTACCAACTACTATCAATTTCATATATATTTATTGAAAATTTTGAAACAATTTATGGAATAATTTATATCGTAGACTTGTGTTTAAATGAAAAACTCACAGAAAACTATTTAATCATACAATAAATAATATTCGTACGTATATCCGTTGCTTGGTTTCTATGTAGAAACAGTAGAAAACACTATTTTATCGGTTCAAAACACTAACCTTCATAAGATATATGTGTTATATGTCTAAATTGGTTGATATTCCAATCATTAGTTGAGTCGTGTAAAACAGCTTCTGATATTTTTAACAAATTAAATTTAGAAATGTTTTCAAAAATATATTATATATGTATTAAGGAAAAAGAAAATAATTAAGGAAAAAGAAAATCGCTGAAATCAAAAAGATTTTGAAAGAATATATAGACTATGTAACATATATGCTAAATAACCACTCAATCATACGAAAAATAAAAGCAAAGTGGATAACGCAATAAGAATATAAATGAAGCATATATATTTCCATGGATAAATCAAATATTAGTTTATTACACCCAACAAAAATCGGTAATGAACTGAGTGAAAAACAACCGAGGAATGTTAACGTTGGGCAGAAAGTTCGACACTTAATTTTTGGAGTGCTCCTGATATAATATTTAGCAATTGTAATGAAATTCAAAAGAACCCTCAAACTGACATAAAATATCGTCTATTGTGTTTAATGCATTACAAAGAAAAAATCTTTAAAAACTATTAAAAAAAAAACGTAAGGATTTCTATCAAAGTAATTATTTTTATCATAATTCTTTGAAAACAATGGCAATTTTTGAGACCTGTCATTATCATAATATCTTGGTTCCCGAACTGTTTCAAATTTAAAAATATCAAATAGTTGTTCTGAAGAAAGAGATTGAATGAAAAAGTGATCGCCCAACTAAACGCCTATATGTGTTGAAATACTCGACAAATTGTTGCATTAAAACACCGTAAAAATCTTAGAAAAAAGTATAAATGATAACATTAAAGTTAAAGCGATAAATACACATATTATATCAGATGTCTATTGGTCAACTTCTTTTTCGATTTGATGGTATCATTTCACTTATTATAATACCTGTAGCTTTATTTGATATTCTTACGATATATATTAGCCAGTGTGGGCGCTAGATTTTTATTATTTAAGTGAATAAAGTCAAAATCAAAGCATTTGATTACAATTTGTCTCTCGAAAATTTATAAGGATTATGAACACATATGTATATATGTATGTTCATATATAAGTAAATAATCACAAATCTTGTGTTTAAGCATTTTTGAGCGAAACCTCTACTGAGACAAATTGTCGAAATTCCGAATAATATTTGGAACTCCATTTTTATAGACTTAATTTTTTTTTCATTTTTTAATTTGAAGCGGTAAAGCTTACATACATATTATTATTTACACTATATATAAATAATTCATACAATAATTATTTGAATTCATAAACCATTTATTCGTACTCCTTTAACAATGTAAAAAACTTTTTTTTAATTAGATTTAATTCAAAATATTTCATTTCAGAATTAGCTTCATTAAGTTATAGAATGTAAATATTTCTCAGAAATAACAATTATATATTTCAATAAATTAATATTTTATCATTTAATAAAAAATTTTAATTTTTTTATAAATAAAACATTAAGCAACATTTATTTACATCAAAAGGCAGTACATAGATGGCAACCCGCATTAATGCAATAAGTTGTTAATAACAAAATGTAAATAACAATATTAATAATATATTACATCTGCACAGCATTTATTTGTACGGTATGTTGTTAACATCACAAATTATATATTGAAAAAGAATAAATAAAATATTTGTTTCCTGCAGCCATTTGCATTTATGTATGGTATGTGTTCTTTTCGTGAGGAAATGTTCTTGTGACGTTTTTAATGTTGTGATTTATGGGAATGTAAATGAAAAGAAAACACAGCAAAACATTATTACACAAACAACGTACCTCTATTGGAGACACTGAATTATTTACCATAAGTGGTAATAAAATAAAATTTATTTAACATACTATAATAAATAGTAATTAAAGATTATGGAAATCAGTTTTTTAAAATCAGTTGACTTAAATTCAGTTAAACTTCAATTTAAACAATAACTAAAGACACTGATCCTTCAAGGCAAATGAAATTTCACTGTTACACACACTTCTTCGCTTTTCACGGTTTAAAAAACAGCATTACTGGACCTGTTTCAATTCCAAGAACCGTTTTGGACACAACATTTCATATGCAGTTTGTTGTTTTTGTCTATTATGTGTTATTTTTTCCGTTTTTTGTTTCATTTTTACAAAACTTCTTTTTAATGGTCAATGGTCATCTTACGTAAGAATCACTAGATTTTTTGCACAAATGCATACATAATATAATTTTGAATTTGTTTGTTTTATAAATATATTCATATAAAAATGTTTATTAATATTAATTAAAAATATGTAGCATATATTCGCTATAATATGACGCAATTCAAAATTTATTCTTTACTAAAAATTGACACCAAAAATCATCGGCGTTCCTTCACGCTACTGAGCTGCCTTTTTAAGTTATTTCCTTTCTTGATTGAAATTGGATTTTATAACACTTTTTGCACAGTTTAGGCAATTTTCACCTTGATATGGTGAAAACCTTTTCAAAGCATGCAATAATTTAAAGGCAAATGCAAAAGATTTTTCTTCGTTCATCTTCTTATCCATATGAATGTTTTTTACTTATACACAATCAAATACTGTTCATGAATATGAATTTTTAACGTGTAATATCCAGTTTGGTGAGCTCAATTAAAAATTAATTTCCCAAAAACCATTCTTGAAAAGTATATCGAGTATTTTCATAGTCATTGGCAAATATTGCATATAATTGTGGTATAAAAGTGGTAAGTTAGATCGATTGGAATTATCCTGAAAATATTATAATTTAATATTTGTGCATATTTTTATATCATTTTACAGCATAAAAAAAAGCATGTGCATTGACAATTTACGAAGAAAAACCTTGTACCTGTAATATATTTAAGGTGACATATTTAAGGTGAGAATCGTCCTGCAGTGTTCGTTAAATTATTGACTGCGCTAACCAATAGTTAATAAAAAAGTTTTGACATTCGTTAAATTAAGTTTCCGTTTTATTACATGTAAATGAGTACATCATTTTCAAACAAGATTTGTTATTGCAAACGCTGTTCATATAAATCTCAAATATCGGTATTTAAATACGTAATAATTGCAAATGTATTAAAATGTACCTAAGTACTTCTATCAATAATAAAGGTTGTAAAATTTTTTATTTTCCTGACATATTATCTAACCGATGTCCGATAGTTCGCTACATAATGTGGGAATGAGACAAAATTTAACTCAATGCAAAAAAACTTAAAATTCAGAGACATTAAATTCATATGTCTGATATCTTTTTTATATCGTTTCTGCGATTAATCGGGTAATCGAGACTTGCAGGTAATTTGTTAATATCGCACACTTGTCGTGGTGTATATTTTTTCACAACATCGTCAAAAACTTGACAAAATTTTAATCCAAACGAAGTTAAGAGGACATTCACGAGAAAAGCTTATTTATAGCAGAGGCTAAAAAAAAGTTACTGTGCCAAAATTCTTTATCACCTCCAACCACTATTCAAAAATGAAAATCTCATATATATAACCAAAACTGTTATAAAACCAACTCATTCGACCTTCACTTATTAATGGATGTGTAGCGTTTAGCAAGGCCTCAAACACCACTATTCGCCAGCTAGAAATTGCACAAAGCCAGGCTTTTCAAGGTACCATGGTACATTAGAACGAATGACATCCTCAGGGACCTCAAGATTGATCCGATCAAAAAATATAGAGCCCTTAAACTATTTACGAAAACCGACAGGCTTACCAACAACGCGTTATCGAATCTCAGAATGGTTACAGGGTCCTTGGGGAGGTATGCAGATCTGAGGTCAGTTATTGCTTAGTCTGATGAAATGGTTATTACGAAACCTCGCAGTTAATAGAGAGTAAAAGTGCTCAAGTGCACTGACTCAACTAGTCTCAACATAATAAACAACAGATTTTTAATTTTTAGTATCAAAATCAAAAATCATGAAGTATGCGTTGAAGAATTTTATTTTATATGAAATAAAACACTACTTCAATTTTATTCTTAAATAAAATAATTTCAGAAATAACAACAACTCTCTAGGAACAAAATTTTAGGCATTACTAAATTATACATTTTGTTTGGACAAAGAAAAATATTTTGCAATAATGGACAGCAGACGTGTAAGATATTCTAAATGAAATTTATCATTTATTTTAATTAACTTTATTAACAGTTTAATAATGGTGGGGGGGATGTGGATTTCCAGGGGCTGGAAATGCATCAAGTAGTTGATTATTACAACTTGCCATTGATAGGGGGCATTCATGCTAGTCTTGCATATCCTGAACTCCAAGAACAAGTGCAGCAACGGTTTCAGGAAGACATACATAGATGTCACAATCGGCTTAGACGCCAATTTGAAATTCCACCCTCAGCGTTTGACATTTTCTTTCAGCATTTAAGAATTGGCCCCGATATTACTATTTTTGAGACATTAAAATTTAAAACAGATTACAGCCGTCTCAACAGAAAAAAACAACTAGCGTTCCAAAGAAGATTGGATCTATTTATCAAGGTGTTCTATGATCGGAGATTGGTTGAATTAGCAGAACTTGGCTGGGAACATTTGAGACAAAATCAAGGAAATATCATTGCTTAACTTCACTGAAACTGTAAGACAAGACAAATTAATATATACTTTGATATATGTTTTGATAATGATGATTGTTTTTTGCAGTTGTTGTGAATTATAACATCTTTCCTCCACACTACAATATGTTGATGAAGTTGGCGTTAATTGTTATCCCTCCCCCGTATTACACCTTCAGTCTCCATTCGGTTATTATATTTAATTGTTCATAATTTTTCATCAAAATTGCATAAATGATTCAAAATTATTGTATATTTCGTCATCCATAAATTGAATTAAAATTAACAGTATATAGAAATTGTGAATATTTTGAGATATATATCAACTTCTAAAACAGTAAAAAACAGTTGTACAATAATTATTTATTTCAAAACAATTATTAAGAAATAATGTTTATAATAATAATTTATCAGCATTTATACCTGAAGCCGAATCCTGAATTAAATATCACATAATTCTCTCATAACCTCTTAGCGCGCCATTCTATTAACAAAGAATGGAAGACTCTTATGTACCTATGTAACAGAATTGCTATATATAACGTAGAAACAGTTTTTATTATATCACTGGTGATCCATATCACCGAATCATAATACGGAAATTTATAGATATGCAATTTTTCTGACAAATAAACTTTAATGGGAGTTATAATGTGTGTATATAAAGCATTATATCATTATATCAGAAGAATTGATTGAAAAATGTATGCCTTGAGCCTTTTTGCAACAACTGTACATAGTTACCAAAAATTACCAGTAGTTTATAGACGCAGCTATGTGCAAAGATCGAAAAATATTGGAAATAATAATATATACTAGAAAAAACATTTTAAACTGAATACAATAATAGCTGCGTTTCAGCAAATAATGATCCACTAAATTTACTTGCAAAACAATAACAATGGTGTCTTATCCTATGTTGAGGTTTTTTCAAGTTAGTACAACTGGGCATTTTTACTCTTTCTTAGCTGGGGGATTTCTACAAAGTCCCTCTCTTTTCTTTTACTAATTGATGTATTCCTCACAAGCTGCGCTAATCATTCGATAACTGATCTAAGATTTGCATATCGTTCCGTATGGCTAGTGACTGCCCTGAGATTAGATAGTGCAGCCTAGATGTAGCGAAGCCCAGCAGTTTTCGTGTACAGCTTCAGAACTCTGTCCTTTATGTATTTTTAGACCGGTTCTATTCTGAGGTCACTTAGCATGTCGTGCGGATGTATCATGGCACCTTGAAGAGTCTTCGGAGAGCCTCACTTTGAGGAACTTGTTACTTCTGGATAATAGAGTTGGCAGCTTTGCTACACGCAACACAACCATAGAGAAGTGCCCGTCTGATTATCTGGCTCGAGTTCAATTGAACTGGTTCACATACTGGTTCAATGTGGAATGTATGTACCAAATACAAATGGAACGTATTTTACACAAAATGTCGTTGGCAATGCAATTTTGACATATTGTACGGTATAGTAAAAAATAGCGCCTTTTTTTAATTTTTAAAATTAATGATTATCCGGCTGTTTTCCACTTCAAGATATTGAGCATTTACTATGTTCTCCTCGTTGATATACTCATTCTGAATGAATTTATTATGAATTTTGTCATTGTCATTATTGAAGGTGTTCTTTGTTGCTCTATAAAATGCAACAGTCGACGAAACCTTGTTTTCGTGCGACCAAAAGTGTCTTCTATGACAATCCTTACCTGCTAATGCACATAAATTTCTCTTTAGGCAGAAGACAAATAACAATAACCATTGTCATTGTCTTTGGTCTAACAAGCAAATTTAAATTAGGATATGCAGAATCTCCAAAAACAAAATAACTTTTAGGGAACTTGTTTGGAAGTAATACTATACTATACATTTGCGATCTACCCAAAATTTAGCTGCTGTGTTAGGAACCAGGCTTTCCAGCATACACGAGTTCGCGACAAACATACATTGGTGTAACATAATTTGTCACAAAACTGGGCGTCGGATATTACACAATAGAATGGCTTTTAAAAAATGCATGGAAAAATTTAGAACGCAATTGATTCAAATGATGATTTCAAATTTAGTATATATAAGAGTGGTAAACATTTTAATAGACTTTATTTATACATATTATACCTGCATCAAAAGGGATACACGTGAGTTAGTAAATTACTTTTGATAGTATAATACGCCTTTGAGTTTATTCGTGGAAGCTAATTTGACAACTATACTATAAAATTTGAAAAGGTCAAGTCGTTAAAAATAACTAAATTGCTATAAACATAAATAGTATGTCAATCAACTAATTTTAGTGTCATTTTAATAACTGTGCCAGTAACCTATAAAGGTGGGATAGCCATTAGCTTGCAAGCAATAATAAATACAGTACTCTTCTGCCGTGTATTCAGGGTTATCAAAATTATTTAGTTTTGAATGACACAAGTACAAAATACTTGCAACTTATTTGTGTTTAAAAGAATAATGTATTCCGGCAATGAAAATTCGTATAAAATATTATTTCGTAAGTTTTTTAAAGATAGTAGCATACATGGTTTAAAAGTTTTATTAATTCCGACTGCTACTCCGTATGGCAAGTAAGATGTTATTGACTTCTTGTAATAAAAAAATATATATATAATTTTACCAAACATTACAGACAAATTTGGATATTTATAATTACTCTGATAATATTATTAACACATTTGATTATCGCTTTTCTGACAATGAGTTACCTGGATCAACCTACGGAAATACATATGTCTCCGACAATGGTACATGTATCAAATATGCCATTTCCTGGAGTAGCCGTATGCAGTGCTAACAAAATTAATAGAGCCAGTTTAGCGAGATTTGCAAAAAAAGTGTAAGTAAAAAAATTATTAAATAAAAAATAAAATTTTATATGAACTTTAATCGGAATTTATTATTATTATTAAATAAAAATTTTTGATTTCATTTATTATGGGCTCAATTTTTGAAACCGAGAAAGATAAAAAAAACATAAAATCTTACAATCCGAAAAAAGTGATTTCCATTTATCCTGAGAAATAACTATACTGAGAAATGTAGAAAAATTAACTACTCAATCACTAGATAATTACTATATAGATGATCCTGAGTCAAGTTCCTGCACATAATAAGTTCTTATATGTATGAAAATATCATCAAATTATTTGAAATTTAAAGAACTGTTATAATGCTGAACACATTTTCAAAACTTGTACCAATCAATTTCAAAAGAAACATCAAAATCTACTACCAAGTGATTCTTTATAGATTTAGTCTTCGTGTCAATGATAAAAATCAAGTTTATTCTTATTAGAAACTGTTATTACTTTCTTTTAATATTAGTATCTCGTAATCAAGTGACGTATTTGGCACCTCTTTAGGATCATCTATAGGTAGTTTAGTTGGTGAAGTGGAAGAAATCTTCCTCAATTAGCCAAGACAGTCGTTTTAATGCCATATTCCTCGTAATTATAGATTGGAGATTGGGCATATTAGAACCAGTCAGAAGCATTGATTAATGCTAGTATCTGACCAATATTAATTTTGAAAACATCACCGAGTGTATAAAAGCGTAACTCAAACTTGATTCTGGACAAGCCTGGACATGGACACAATAGGTGCGTCGATGTCTTCTCTTCAAGCGCCGCAGAGTGTCCCAAAATAAAAATTAAACCATCAAAATTCGATATTTTCTAAACCAGTCGAGATATTAAAATAAAATTTTCCTTATTTGGTAACAATCACAAGCAAAGTCACAGTCAACAATTAAGGAATTCAAAAAATATGTACCTGAGATGCCGAAGAGGTAAGAAAGGAAAGGGCAAGAATACCAGTAATCTAATAATTTAATATTATAATAAATTAAATATTTGCTAACAACAACAACTCTTAAATATAGTTTTTGAGATGGACTTACTTTTGAATGTGTTTTAAGCCCAATCCGCTTACCGGAATCGACACATACGTCTACACATAATGTGTGTTAACCTCGTTGTGTTTAAATTGATTATAAACAAATTAAATATTTTTAAGCTAATAAATATCGGTATATTATTACTTATTAGAGGTGATATATATGATGTTTATTTATTTGTCATATTTTTTATTATTTTTCCGCAATTTCTGGGGCCTGAAATAGGTATAAAACATAGAGTGAATGGCCGATTTTTTGTAAGTTTATATTATAAAATTTTACTGGTTATTAAAACAGAAATTTTTTACATACGAGTAATAACTACACCTTAAGCTTCAAAAAATTTAAAAAAAGGTTATAATTCAATAAGTTGTGAACCTTCAATAAGTTGACCATGTTTGGGCCCAAATTTAAAAGAGTTCCATGTCAATAAAAGATAGGAGAATTCACAACTAAAAAGAAAAAAATTTTTATATCTCTACTGGTTTAGAAAATATCCAATTTGGATCATCTAATTTTCATTATGACGCACTGTACGCCGGTAGATACGCACAACAGAAGATTTGACAGGGCAAGCCGAACTTTGTTCCATACTGTCTTGTAGTCCAGTGTCGCATGTGGACAAACGATGATCACTTATATACATAATCTTTTATGATTATCGATTAACTTTTGGATATAAATTTCACTAGGAGTTGAAACACAACTACTTTATGAGGAAGTCAATTATTTCCCTAAATAAAAATTATTTTCTTATATGAAAAAATTACACAAAATTTATCAAAAACTATATCGGTTGAATTTGTTTATCATATAAGCAAAGTTTTGACGAATGTAGAGAGAACTTAGAAGATCCTAATATTTTTACAATTGCGTAAAATACACCTATTTTAAAGTGTGATTAGAAGCTTCACATTAACTTGCTTTGGATTTTGTTAATAAATCAAATTCAAATTAAAACAATTGTTTACGATTTCAAAATTATTCTTCAGTATTTAAAACATATCACACAGAAAGTCTATTAGATTAAAAACTTTATGCAAAGTAACCCAATTCGTCGACTTTTCCTATCATGGCAACAATAGAGTCCAATAATTCTTCACCAGTGGGTATGATTTGTGCAGCGGGCAATTGGAAACCAGTCAAAATGGAATTTGATGATGGACGTAACTCGTAGCAGAATGCCATTCTTACACCAACTTCAGCGTAAGCCCAGTCTACACTAGCACCAGCAGCTGGATAGATAGCATCGTAAATGTTACCTCCAGTATATTTAGTATTATATCGTTTGTTAATTGCTGCAGTGGCAGCGTTAAAAACTTGTTTGTAATCATCAACATTATCGGGTAATTCATTGGTGTGTCCGTATGGATATAACAGATATTGTGAGTAGGCATGGAATGAAATATACAACTGTATCTTGCCTTTAAGAGAAGCTATATAATTGGACAACGATTTTGTTTCGATTTCGGAGAAAGCTTCTGGTCCAGCATAAGTGTCAGAGCATGGATTAGTGCTAGCACCGACATGATTCCAAAAGAATCCCCAATTGCGATTTGGATCGGCTCCGAAGCAATTTTTGTAAGGAGTACGTGTCTTGCGCCACATACGATCACTTTGGTGTGTATATACATAACCATCAGGATTAGCGTGTGGGAATATGTACCAATCATAATTTAAAGCAATATTTTTTAAATTACTGTCAGATGAAGTCAACAATTGATTGATAATGTATGTTGCACTAGCAGGGGCAATCCATTCACGTGCATGTATACCAGCTTCTATAAAGATGCCGGGCTTTTGTTTACCACCATTGTTCTTAGAAATTTTAACTCCCAAAATTGAACGACCTTGATATGTTTTACCGCCTTCAATCAAAGTCACGACACCAGGATATTCAACAGCTAATGATTGCAACCATTTATAAGTATCATCTAGTTGATAATAGGAAGTCCAGCCATAGCTTGAGTCTCTTGTTGTTTTTTGTTCATCACTGTTATCAAAGTGTTGCTGTAAGTTCGTCTCAAGTAATTTATATTCAATTTCCTTGGTGCCCATAATTTCCAAGAAATCTGGAATTTTATGTGGAGCTACAACAACTTTGATATCTTTGTTGATATTGTGTACATAATCCAAGAAGATGATGGAGTCACTGCTTCCTTCTAAGTCTTTCAAGACAGCCAACTCAGGTACACTGGAGGCGACCACACTGTAGACACGGTAGTTGTCATAACGTGCGCGCTCGCCGCTACTAACAGCGAAGGCTGCTAACAAGCAAAGCCCAAGTGCAAATGCTACTTTAAACGACATTTCACAAAATCGCATAAGCGAATGCTTTTACTAACCATTAAGCGATAACTTATATAGGTTCTTCGAGCATAACCAAAACAACCGAAGAAGTTGGCAAATAGAAACGGTAACTATTTCAATGAAACACTGATAACGCTGATAAAGCCCGCTGTCTGTAACTAAGCGACGGACGTGACCGCTGCGTAAACCGACTACAAGTGCTTGCAGTAAATTTTTATGCTACAGTTCTGATTATCAGTTCTTGACATGCCAGTAAAAAACATATAAATTACCTATTACAAATTCCTCTGTGCTCTAATCCATATCAGTAGAAATCCTTTAGACCATAAAATATTTCGATTGAATTATAAATCAAAATGTTAGCAATTCTTTGTTTTGGTTTGGTTTATTATTTTTGTTTTGCATTGAGTGGATACGTGCGCAGCTTTTGAATAGAACTGGAAATTTCATGTTGTTTGATTTATCAACAAAGCACAAATGATGTACCCTACTGTGGGTATGTTATGTCACTTGAATTATATAAAATTTGTAGGATTCGAATATAGCTGAACCCTTCATAAGCAGCGAAACCGTCTGTCACTCCAAAAGGTTGGTACAAATCAATAGAATGAATGATTACACATAGTTAGATTCCAGGTCATCTGATATCCAATTTATCAGTTATATAGAGTTTCACTTGCAACTTTCTTTATAATCTATAAAATATGTTCACCATTTTTATTGGAGACATTCAGAATCTCGAGTAATTAGCTTGGTAACCGAGTCTCACAGCAACAAAGCAAAGTGGCAACAATACAAACACACAAATTTGTTTTGTTTTGTTGCTGTGGCAACATCCGATTCGATTACTCGGTTCGAGCTTGTTACTCGTAATTGTGAACACCACTTTTAATGATTTTTTTTAATATACTTTCTTTTATTGCGCTCTGTCACTTAAGAATAGAGAATAAACAATATTTAAGAGTAAGTGGAATATTTGTGGGCTTGAATGGACTGTGCTCAGTAGCACATCCGTCTGTTGAAGTCAGTCACAGACTAAAATTCCAGTGGTGTTTGTTTGCGGAGACGTGTGAACGTTCTTCCTTCTGCTATAATTCTACTAATGAAATGGTTGAGGTGATGTAACATTCTTTTTTTATGATTTCTGGCATGGCTTTTTATAACATCCTTAACTACGGAAATGTTAAGATCGCGATGTATACATTCAATTGTCATATATCTAGGATCATTTAATACTAAGGCAGTTCCCCAGACTTCAATGCCATAAGTCCAGATTGGCTTAAGTATAGCTTTGTAGATAAAAAGTTTATTTTCGATTGACAGCTTTGAACTTTTGTTCAGTATCCAGTAGAGCTCCCTCAGTTTGATGCCAAGTACTTTTCTTTTTGTAAAAATATAGTGCTTTTAAGTTAGTTTTGTGTCAAAGTGTATCCCTAAATATTACGCGTGGGTAGATTGGGGGATTAAAACATCGTTAAGGTGTACCAGTGGGTATATATTTCTTCTCATTATTAAAGTTTACTTTATAGTTGTTATAACAACATAACGATTTGAATGAAAAGCATTTAAAAAAAATTTTATTTTGATTGTTCTCTAAGGATCACAACTAAGTTTCTTGAAAATTATTGGATATTAGCCAAAAAAATCGTTTCTGGTGCGATACTCCTATGAACACAAGATTAAAGATCTAGTTTGTTTTTGCAGCTACAGGGAGACGTCTCTTTTTAGTAAAACGGAGTTAAGATCGACAACCTACGTTCGCAAAACCGTTCTGTCCAATGTAACAAAGAGTCGTCGCAGCTTAGAAGGAGATAATATTTCATAACTTGTAGCTAAACTGCACTCAAAAAAATATGCTCTAAACACATACAAGTAAAATTGACCTGACCAATTTTGTTAGAAAAATATTAGCTCATGTGGTTAAGAAGAAATAAATATTTGGTATGGTGGAACCAACATGATGCGACGAGTGAAAATATTTTGATCTGAGATTTGGTTAAAACCTAGTTGAATCAAATTAATTAGATTCAAATTCAGAAAATCAGAAGATCAACAAGTTTCCGATGAGTTGAGATAGGTTCCTGTCAATGTCAAATCCTGAATAGTGATTGATTACTAATAGAGTAAGTGTAGCGAATGGAAAAACGAAAAGTGTTTCCATAAATACATTGTTCTTGCATTGGACAGATTAAAATGAATACAAATAATCTCAAATGATTAAAATTTATAAAAATTATAGACTTTAAAATTTTGGATAGTATCACATCACAAGTTTGTCGAAAGTTCGGTGTTTCTTCTTGATTACTTTTAATAAATCTTTAAAAAGAATTATGACAGCCGTGATCTTTGCACTCAACTCAGTTCACCAATATGTGAAATTACCTATATGGGATATTTTTCGTGCAATAAAGCCAATACAGGATGCAATGTGCGCTGGCCCATAGGTAGAGGAAAGGTATTCAGATAATTGTGGTAATTAAAAAGTATGATTAATGCATTATATTGAATTATTAGTGAATGCATAGCAACATATAAATATAATTCTTCGATTCATTTTGGAGGGATTTTATTCATTAAAGTTGTTAAGTGACACCGTCCTGTTAAAACCATATACCATCCACATCTATATCTTAAATTTCCAAAAATTGTGTTGGTGATCATATGACTGTAGTTATCAGATGGTATCGATTGCCGGCATGTTATTTTGAAGATAGTACAAACCTATCACACAAATGTAACCCAAATGTCACATAATAAAGTAAAGTAATGATTTTTTAGCAGTTACTCTTAGATATTTTAGATATGGATTAGCTACTATATGAAAAATGAGCCTCATTCCTGATGAAATATCTAGGCGAAATCAATCTATAGAATCACTATATTTATTATATATACCACAAAGTTACTATTTTTGTTGTAAGATTTCACCATTTTATACGTTTATTTGTTATTCAACGATTCATATTGTAAATTGGTGTACCTTAAACTATAGACATAATAGATAGTGGGTGATAGATGTTTTTCACATACGTCACTGAAACAGTGTTGCAACAGTGGTAACATTCTTTTGGTTTTAATTTGGCCTTCAATTAACTCACATGATCAATTATCATTTGCATGATCTGATTGTATTTCATACCTATACATTCAAATCTAGAAATATTTCTAAAATAACATTTAAAATTTTTTTTCCATCGCTTTATCAACTGTATGATTACCTATACTACACAAAGTCGTGTGGGTAACTTCTTAAAATTATCGACTGTCCTATAGAGAGCATACATATAGTTAAGAGTAGAGGGACAAGTGCAAAGATACTATTATATTAATACGTAAATATCTGTACTACCTAACATAAATTAATATATCATGATACTAATTATATTTGTATTTGCTAAATTTGAAATTCGTATCTTTTTCTAAGTGAACTTACTTGATAACTGTAGCTCAGCTAAGCCCATAAAGTGAGATTGTTTTGATATATTGAACTTTATTTTCATACGTCAATGATAATCACTGCAGACGAATGCATAATTATTTTTAAGCTTCTTGGAAATAAACTTACATGCAAAATTTCTTTTAATGCAATAATTTATTATAAATATTAAGTCGTCTAGAAAATAGAATTTCTTTGTAATATTTAAATATGTCAAAGATAGAAGATAAGTAGATATTCGTACTTAAACAATGTAAGAGGTAAATATAATGATAACATGTATTATTGGATAATAAAATAAAGAGGGCAACAAGTCAATTATTTTTATTATTATTTACAGCAAACTTAACTCTTTGAAGTAATACTACTTAAAAAATTTTATTATATAACGTATATGAAAGAAACTGACTTAGAGATAAAAACAATACATTGACTACGTATATACTACAGGGTTAGGCGATATCTTTTTTGTATGACAGAATTTTTTATTGAATCAAATTATAAAAATTTGTATAAATAATCAAAACTTCAGAATCTATCCATTTTAGCTTGACGTGGCTACTTTCGCCTTTTTTAACCGTATGGCCTTCCAACGGTTAAAAAATGAGTTGCATACTTCACGAATATGACCTTTAGGTATTTTGGTCTATTCCTGAACAATGGCCTTTCTTCAACGCATGCATACTGATATATTTTTTAGTCCTCACCTTGCTCTTCAATAGTCCAACGGATTTGCATCTGGCGAATTCGAAAGCCATTGTGTGGACGAAATGAAATGTGGAGCATGATTTTTAATCATTCTTGGTTCATATGAGCTTTATGAGACCGAGTTCCGAGTTTTATTGAAACGTCCATAGTCTACGACTGAAGAGTTTGCATACCCCTGGCTCTAATACAACTTCCAAAATATTTTCCCGAGAATTGACTTTGACATCAGTCTCACTGAAAACGATTGGAGAGCGTCTATCGGTGCGGTTGTCACAAGGGCCTATACCATTACTTGAAATAAAAATGAAAAATACTTCGGGTGGCCATTCATAATCTTAAATAGCAGTGAACGGCAGTGCGTTTAATTAAGTAAACACGATAGTTTTGAGGATTTATGGGGAAATTTATGGGGAAATTCTTATCAGAGAACATGTTTGGAAATTTGAAAATTCGTGCCAACATTACAACTTCTTTGCTTTTTCGAGTCTAACTTTTGGTAGCTTTAATGTGAGATATCTCATGTTAGAGTATATGTCGGGTGCTTCCTTGAGATATTTCAGTTCTTTGGTCATTTGATTATCACTACGATGTGGATTTCGTTCAAGACAAGCCTTCACTTTCCGAATCATTTCAGGTGATATTGCTGTTTTTTTCGTACACCACCACAGTGTTTAGCATCGCTGCCTGTACTATTATAATATGTGGTACGATACATAGCTTAAACTCCTCTAAATGAGGAGTTTAAGCTTACGAACAATAGCTGATTTTCCAGGTAAATATATCCCAATCACACTATTACGTTTGAGTTCCATTTCGAATAACTTTTGTTCTATAAAACTTAGACTCAAATGCTTGTGGTAGCTTGTAAGTAATATAAAGAGCTGACATTCGTATGAATTGAACATAGTTAACTATATTAGTTTGACAGATATATCAGTGTGTAGTTTTAATCACCTAACCATGTTCATGAGTATATAATACGTGGGAAGAGAAATTGGAAGTAATGCATATTATTTATTATGATTATTTTGAGTTTAATAGAAAATATATCCTATTTTAACTAAAGTTCTTAATTAACGTTTCAACCTTTCGGTGTACAGGCATAATTATTATAGTAATTTCATTTTATCAGTGAATAAACGGGAGAGAAGAAAATAAAAACATAACTACTTCAAATGTGCAAATGTGCTAGTCTATGAAAATAAAGATATCCTACACAGATAACAACCTTACCGGGAATCTTAAGTATGTGTAGCTCTTAGTAGCTCTTATGTCCGTGTCTGCTATAATATGCGCTTCTAGAACAGGAGAGGAAGTTTTGATGTCTTCCAAAACTAACTAAACATTACTTAGCCCTCTGCATTATTTACTACGAAAATAGTTAACAGGATTATAGGTTGGTAAACAAAAATGAACTGAATAAAGATCAATAAATCATCTTCCATAAGATTCTAGTGCATATTTGACAATACTATTCATTGCAGTGTGGAATGCAGAAAAAACAGATAATTTACAGTCAACTCCATTGGAAATGCAACTAAACAATTTATGTCTAAAGTGGGAAGTTCAAATAATATGTTGAGAAGAATAGTACTTAATAATTTGTATTTTACCTAGTTCAATCTTGCTCTGTATGGTGTTAAGAAAGTGTTCAAGGTATGAACTTCAGGGAAGATACAAAAGTGTGAACTCATACTTCAATAATTCTGTCTTCAATAAAATAAATTAATTAATTTGAAAAATTAATAGTAACTACTTTTACATAAGAAATCCTTTAGGAGATCATGAGATACTAAGAATTTATTCAGCCAAATGGTCCATAATCCCTAGATTTAGAACTACTGAATAAATGAATTTTATTGTAATTGATTTTCATAGTAAACTCTTTAGTAAAAAATAATGTTTTAATTTAGTTTTTTATTTGTTTATTTGCAATCCATTCAGAAAATATTGAATAGTAAAAATCCGTTTGTAGTGATTTTATATATTCGCACTGTACTACATACCTAAGATATATTATAAGGGCAATAAAAATCAATGCGTGAACTGATAAAGATTTAATACGTTAGTTAAGGCAGTTATAAATGTATTTTTTTTTTTTGCTTCAGCTTATAAAGTAAATTTTTATTGAATTTACAATAACTAAGATAACGAATGAAATTCACTTTTAAAATTATTATTTTTTACAGAGATTCTTTGATCAAACAAAAACTATAAAAATTGATTTTAACTGATATGTCATAAATGTAATTGAACAAGAGATATTATGATAAGATAGTTTGTGTTCCAAAAAAAAAAAAATTACAAAAATAATTTATAGCTGAAACTACTGTAGCTCTTAATATATATATATATATATATATATACATACTTATATTAAGTGCTATAAAGAGGAAATACTGATTAATATTAACGGCAATTGAACCTTAACAAATGGCAATCAATTTGAAACCTAAAAGAAAAATGACGGTTAATAGGAACATTGGTTATAAATAATATAATTTATTGCTTATATATAAATTAGAACTACTTCAGATTTCACATATCAAGAAATTATTAATAAGCACAATAAAACAGTAGTTAACAAATCGGAAACATTATGTACATATGATTAGGAAAAGTACATATTATTTTATACGCTCAAAATAAGATTTTTTTCTATTAAAAACAGTCAGTTTGTAACTTTATTAATAAACAGTAAATATTCACCAATAATTACAATAATCCGTATAACTTATATTGTTTCAATTGTTTTAATCATTTCGATGAGGGCATCTAAAGTTTCTTCACTAGTTGGTATTATTTGATTTGCTGGCAATCTAAAACCTGTCCAATAATTTTTACTCGATGGTCGCAGTTCAAATGCGTAAGCATATTTTATTTCAGCTACGCCATATGCCCAATCCACACTTGTACCAGATGTTGGATATATAGTATCGTATATATTGCCTCCAGTATAAACTGTGCCGTAACGTTGTTTTACACCACTAATACCAGCATCCATAATATGTTTTAACTCTCCTGCATTAGGTGCGGAAGAGTTCGTGTGCCCATATGGATATAATAAATATTGACCATACGAATGTATAGATACATATAATAGCATACTTTTCTTAAATGTTGATATAAAATTTGCTAAGGTATATGTTTCTCTTTCAGAGAAAGGCCTTGAACCCGCATATATATTCGAACAAGGATTGTTATTGCTGCCGATAAAACCCCAATGATAATCCCAATTACGATTCGGATCTGCTCCGAAGCAACCACTTATATGAGGCTTACGTGTTTTACGCCACAATCGATCGACAGTATAAGTATAAACATATCCATCCGGGTTAGCATGTGGTACAATATACCAATCATAACGCTCACTCATAACGTTTATGCTACGATCTGTATTTGTAAGCAGCTGTTGTAGTATATATGTGACAACCGCTGGTGTAATCCATTCTCGTGCATGCATACCAGCTTCTAAAAATATACTGCGCCTGGGACCTACAGCACCTTTCGATAATTTCACAGCTAAAATTTTTCGATTCTCATATGAATAACCAGCAGTGTAAAGTGTGATAAATTGTGGGTACTGCATTTGTAACATTTCCAACCATTTATATGTCCCATCCAATGTATGATACTTTTTCCAATTGTAATCAAATGCTCGTTGAGGAGTATCCTCTAGTTCTAGATCCTCCAATTCAGTTTGTGCATTTTCACTCAACAGCTGATATGTGAAATTTGCAGTACGTAACATGTTTTTAAATTGTGGTAAATACTTCGGAGCTACAATTATATGGACCGATTGACCAATGATTTGTGCACTATCCACGAATGTGTATGCATCCTGATCTGCTTTGCTTTCTAATATATTTATTGCAATTAGTTGTTGTTGTGTTTTGGGCTCTAATTGATAAACGTGATGATTGTCGTAACGCTTCAACATACCACATGTGAGTGTTAAGTATGTTAAAAAAATTGCCTTCAACAGAAATTGTCTCCCACATTGGAGGAGATGCGCCATGGCATGAATTAATGGAACGAGTGAGTCAAATAATTTCAACGCTTCCAATTTATATACCATGGGCCTTATGTGCTGTACTTAAAACTCGTTTAGTAGACACCCATGCATATACTAAGTAAATAAATTTAAACGATATATTCAATAAATGTACACACATTACTTCAGTATTGCTTTTATTTTCTTTTATATGAACTCATACGTATTACCTACAATCATTTGAAGAAATGAAGAATAGAAGTAAGTTGATTCTTCAGTCAGAAGAATTACAAGAAAAAAATTACAATTTATGCAATTTATATGCGACACGTTAGATTTATGCTAGTCTACGAAAGCAGAAGTATTTTACCTAAAGTAACTGTCTACACATTCTTACGCCAAATACGACTGTGAGGACAATTTAATGAATTTGTCACAGTTTTCTGTAGAAGCACAATTGGGATTTAAAAATGATTTTTATTTATTGGATATCATTAATTAAATAATGAATATTAAATTTAATTACTTAATAAATTTTTATCAATCATTTTTTAATTTTTATATATTCTACATAAATTAGTAAATTGGTAAAAAATTTCATATTTGGGAATTATTTTTATTGATTAAAAATCATCGATTAATTTAAATAATTAATAAAAAATACAATTATTAAATAAAATTTTTTTAATAATTTTTCATATGTTCTATATAAGTTTTTCGTAAAGAACGAAATTTTTTGATTTTGGAAATAAAAAATTAATATTTTACTGAAATAAAAAATTAATATTAAATTTAATTATTTAATAAATTTTTTTCAATCATTTTTTATTTTTTCTATATTCTATATAAATTTTTATATAGAACAAAGTTTTTAGATTTTGGAATTATTTTTATTTTTCAAAAATCGTTGATTGAAATAAAAACATTAATACTAAATTTAATTATTTAATAAATTTTTATTAATAATTTTTTATTTCTTATATATTTTATATAAATTTTTAATGAAATGGTAAATTGATTAAAAACCATTGATTAATTTTAATAATAAATATAAAATTCAATTATTAAATAATATTTTATTAATAATTTTTTATATATTCTATATACATTTGTTTTCATTTTTCAAACATTGTTGATTGAATTAAAAATTTAATATTAAATATAATTATTTAATAAATTTTTATTAATAATAATTATAATTTTTACGAATTATTTGCTTACTCTTTTCACCATTGAGCTCCCAATTCGGTACAACAGAAGCCATCGCATTTACTGGCTTTTTTGGGGACTATCTCAATATACTTCTGTTATGAGAAAGCTTTCGATTCGATAATATTTAGTTATTTTCTTAATATGTTCAATGCTTAGAATACGTGGACATCATACTCCTGGAATACAAATATCAGTTGATAAATATTTGAAATTTGTTTGCTGTTGAGTTTTTGAGCGAGTTTCACCGGCTTTTCGTCACTAAGCTGAAAGTCGTTTTGAATTCGGTTTATAGGTCGGGATTGAGATTGTTAGATACATATTAAAAATTGCATTTAATCATATGTAAATAGTTTCTAACGATGCGTAGATGTTGATAGTCTACTATAATCGCCTGTAACATTTAGTAGCACAAATGGTAATGCAAAATTATACCTTTTGATATTTTGAAGGTGACATTTATTTCCCGAAACTTCATTTTTCGGTCATTTGAAATGTTTTCGTAGACTTTTCTGAAATTCTCTAAAGTAATTACTTTAGATGGGCATCCAGTGCGTTCAAAGATATTGATGTGCTTACACCAAAATACTGGCAAATTGTTGCTCTCAACCAACAAAGACATTGTGATATATTTTTTGTCAGTACTATCTTCACACGGTATTTATTCTAATCCAAAATGGTAACTAATTAAAATCAATTGCATCTTGTAAAGTCGGATTTACTTGATTTGTTTGGTCTACAGAAATTAGTGAGTATTCTGACCACTAACGTCTTAAATAAATTTCATGAAGCTGCAACAAAGCATTAAAAAGGTCAGATTAACTGCTAAATGACAGCGATTTCTTTGTGATAAAACTTTTTTTAATTATAATAATTATAATTAAAAATTATTGTGTATTAATATAATTACGTACCTATTAAGGATCTGGAATTACACGCAGTGTAAGGATGGAAATTTTGTAATAATTTCCAACCTACATATAACTAGTGTGCAGCTAATACCTGAAATAAAAATTGGTTAATTTTTATATAATATATTAAAATTAAATAACTTACTAAAAGCCACCCCCGCATGTACGCAACTGCATCACAATGAATTAAACCTACGATTGCATTGAAAATTTAAAAGAATGCAAAATATATTCAAATAAATAAATATTGTACCTACCTTATTTATTTATTATCTAAACTTATACTCTTTTTTGTTTGTATTTTATATATTTATCTTATTTTTAATAAATAAATATAAATATTTAAAACTGCCACTACCGACACTAAGCTAAACACGTTTCAAAACAAAACAAATGCACAACAGAAGAAACGTCAAAGAAAGCTTTTGTGCAAAGAGCTTTGTGTAAAAATTGATGCGCGCGCATATTAACTACGGCGAAAGCGCAAAACAGCAACGACGTCAAAAATCCAAGCCAGCTGTAAACTAAGCTTTGCGCTACGTTAAAGTTTGGTCTGATGCGTATATAAGAAGACGCATTTACTTAGAAGAAGGCAGTCAGTGATCAACACGCAAAGTGTTCAGAAGCAGACAGAGGCTCGTTATCAACTTTCGAAGACAAGAGAACGCACCAGGGACTTGGACAGTCAAACACAACATACAAAGTCGGTCGCAGAGCTAAGTATAAACAGAGACTTACATAACAAATATTCCTTTGATTTGTATATCCCTCCTACAGCCACCGTACGTAAGCGTGAACACGTTTATATCCTTTCCCAGTAGCAAATATAAGCGTGAACACGTTCATATCCTGCTATTAAAATCTAATATAAAGCGTGAACACGTTTTATCCCTCCTACAGCCACCGTACATAAGCGTGAACACGTTTATATCCTTTCCCAGTAGCAAATATAAGCGTGAACACGTTCATATCCTGCTATTAAAACCTAATATAAAGCGTGTACACGTTTTAGATCCTTTCCTACTTACTAAGCCATATATATATGTATATAGGCGTGAACACGTCTATAGATGATAACGTCTATAACCCGTAAACTTTTCTTCTACAACAGGTATAACAATTTTATAAATATCAAATATAAATGAATAAACATTGTTAGTTTTAAGACAACTTAATAATAAATAAATCTTGAAATCAAACACTGTCTTTATCCTTTAAAAATTTATTGTAACGACCCCGGACCAACCCCTGAGTATTACCCCGGCAAACAGAGCGACGAAAAAGTGACGTTACAATTGGCGCCCGAGCAGGGACAGTGTTCAAAGATTTTTTTTAATAATGAAGTTATCCCAGCCAAAATCAAGCATGACCGTGTTCAGGAGATTTTAAATACGAAAGCAGACAGACTTCTCAAAATTAAATCAAAGTAATATCCACGTTACCATGGCACAAGCTAACATGATCAAAAGATAAAATCTAAATACTTTCATCCGTTCAAGCCAGTTCAACAGAGAAACATACAAGACGTTCGCATAAGCAGCACATCATGGACTTATCGTATGCACAAACCGTGGAGCGGATACGAAAATGGTCTGTAAAGTACAATGGAGGAATAGATCCAATAGATTTTGTGGAAAGCATAGAAGAGGTAGCAGACCTTGACGACATCAACGTGAATTTAGTTCCCAGAATGATGCCTATACTGCTTGAAGACAAAGCATTGATGTGGTACCGCAACAACAATAAGCATTGGAACCTCTGGTCAAGCTTCAAGATGGACTTTCTAAAATTTTTCCTTCCACATAGGTATTTCGACAGATTAGAAGACGAGGTGCGAGCACGAGTTCAGAAGGAACAAGAAAGTTTTAAAGATTATGTACTGGAAATCAAATATCTTATGCGACACACAGACATGAACCAAGATTCGCAATTGGAGCGAATATACCGAAACATGCGCACAGAGTACCAAATGTACATCAAACGTCGAGACTTTTCGAGCTTAACAGAATTAACAATATTAGCTGATGACTTCGAAGAACTTCGCGCAGAACAGGATAAAATGAGTCGACGCGGTGTTCGACAGGAAGTGATAGTTGGTCGCATAGAAGTTGAATATCCACAAACGATGTTATGGGAAAATACAGTGAGACGCGTACCTACTATGCCGATACAAGATAAACTTATTCCCAGTTCAAATTCCGAGTCACCTATTCTCAACCAGCAGAGAAGTAATCAGCACCGCAACCAGCCGCCAGCTAAGCAAGTAACAGCACGAATCACACAAGATCAAGATATATGTATTTCAAAATCAAATGTACCAAGTATCAACTCAGCAGAATATCCAACATGTCATGCCAGTTAGAGGAAATCTAAAACCATTCAATCGAAACCAAGTCACAGAAGTTCAACAAATGCTGCAAGTCCAACCATGCGAACCAAAGCAAGAATCACAAAATATTAGGCCCATCAGAGGAAATTCACAGATGCAAGAAACACTACGACAAGTAAACCCAAAACTTACAAAGAAGAATCCCGAAGTATTTAAGCCACCACGAGTTACACCAGATCAGGAAATATTTCAAAGTCAAACGAAGCAAGTATCAGTACACCAAACACCGCAACGTGTCACGTCGTTCAAAGAAAACTTAAAAGCGTTTAATCAGGACCAAACCACAGAATTTAAACGTATGCTCCAAATCCAAGCGTGCAAACCACAGCAAGATTCAAGACCCAACAAGCAAAATCCCAAAGTATCTATACAACAGCGAGTCACACCAAACCGTGAAATAGTATCAGTTGAAATACAAGGACTACAAAACCAGTTAAAACCTATATTTATCAAAGGAAATCTCGAAGTATCTAAACAACAGCAAGTCACCCCAAATCATCAAATATTACAAGTTCAAACACAGAAAGTACAACGACAGAAAGAACCAAGCGTAATCAAAGCGCAAAAACAAAAGATTCAACGGCACAAAGATCCAAGTCCTAGCAAGAAAAATTCACAGGTAGTTAATCAACCAAAAAGAATCAATCCAACGGGGAATCGCCATATAACACAAGTTAAAATTCCAGATACACAAGGATACGTAGAACAACATCAAGTTCAAGATATTGAAACACAACAAGGTCAACAAAAGGTTACAGTAATCAAAGATCATACCAGACGAGTTCGATTGACTCAAGGAACCCCAAGTCCGACACAATCATTGCAACAAGTTTCAATTAACCACGATAGTCAACGAAAGCAACAGCCAGAAGAAGGAAAAAATGATTCCACACGTCCGAAGGATAAGATAGACAATCCTCTGATACAATTACAGGAACTAAGTCTAGAAATTCCAAAACCATTCAGCACCCAAAAACTGCAGAAGCCGATGAATAACTTAGATGTACTTCAGCAGAAGGACTATGATCTTGTTAGTATACACCAAGATAAATTTTTCAAAATATTCAAGAGCCCAAAGAAACGGCACAGAAATCATGCAGGCAGATAGTGGCAAATTAATTTTCCTCGGAGAAGGAGGGAAATGTAAGGATGGAAATTTTGTAATAATTTCCAACCTACATATAACTAGTGTGCAGCTAATACCTGAAATAAAAATTGGTTAATTTTTATATAATATATTAAAATTAAATAACTTACTAAAAGCCACCCCCGCATGTACGCAACTGCATCACAATGAATTAAACCTACGATTGCATTGAAAATTTAAAAGAATGCAAAATATATTCAAATAAATAAATATTGTACCTACCTTATTTATTTATTATCTAAACTTATACTCTTTTTTGTTTGTATTTTATATATTTATCTTATTTTTAATAAATAAATATAAATATTTAAAACTGCCACTACCGACACTAAGCTAAACACGTTTCAAAACAAAACAAATGCACAACAGAAGAAACGTCAAAGAAAGCTTTTGTGCAAAGAGCTTTGTGTAAAAATTGATGCGCGCGCATATTAACTACGGCGAAAGCGCAAAACAGCAACGACGTCAAAAATCCAAGCCAGCTGTAAACTAAGCTTTGCGCTACGTTAAAGTTTGGTCTGATGCGTATATAAGAAGACGCATTTACCTAGAAGAAGGCAGTCAGTGATCAACACGCAAAGTGTTCAGAAGCAGACAGAGGCTCGTTATCAACTTTCGAAGACAAGAGAACGTACCAGGGACTTGGACAGTCAAACACAACATACAAAGTCGGTCGCAGAGCTAAGTATAAACAGAGACTTACATAACAAATTTTCCTTTGATTTGTTATCCCTCCTACAGCCACCGTATATAAGCGTGAACACGTTTATATCCTTTCCCAGTAGCAAATATAAGCGTGAACACGTTCATATCCTGCTATTAAAACCTAATATAAAGCGTGAACACGTTTTATCCCTCCTATAGCCACCGTACATAAGCGTGAACACGTTTATATCCTTTCCAGTAGCAAATATAAGCGTGAACACGTTCATATCCTGCTATTAAAACCTAATATAAAGCGTGAACACGTTTTAGATCCTTTCCTACTTACTAAGCCATATATATATATATAGGCGTGAACACGTCTATAGATAATAACGTCTATAACCCGTAAACTTTTCTTCTACAACAGGTATAACAATTTTATAAATATCAAATATAAATGAATAAACATTGTTAGTTTTAAGACAACTTAATAATAAATAAATCTTGAAATCAAACACTGTCTTTATCCTTTAAAAATTTATTGTAACGACCCAGGACCAACCCCTGAGTATTACCCCGGCAAACAGAGCGACGAAAAAGTGTCGTTACAGCAGTAGTATTAATTTGCTTAGTGAGAAAAGTATAAAATAGTTACACCACACCAATTGTTAAATACTTAATATAAGAATCTCAATGTATCTTTTAAATACTTTAATAGTTTTATACATTTTTTTTTAATACTTTACCATTTCAATCATTTTTATTATTTTAATAGTTTCTTCGCTCAACAAGCTTTTCAACCCGACTTATTAGCAACAAATATTGATGATATGATTGAACAGTTAAGAGTACTCGGTGCTTTCTATAATCATCCATTTGATGAGTATTTGGATGAGGATGGACATCTGGAAAAATTACACAACATCTTAACATTTATGTATAACTCGACAACATATCCTTCACGAGACATACTACTCGATTT